GGGACATGCTTGACATTTTTGACCAGAAAAAAGGATAGGTTCTTTAGAGTGATGACTTTGGATCAGTCTGACAGGTGGTAACATGCATGATGGGCGCTCACTGAAAGTTTAAGAGTGTGTGTGTGTGTGTGTGCACGTGCGTGTGCACGCATGTGTGTCAGACAGTAGAGAACCGTGCAGTGTGAAGCTTCTCTAAGTGTACTATGATATTGGTGAAAAATAATAATGTTTGTTATTTGGCCTTGGGTTACTTCCATATTTAAACTTGTTAGCAGTGGGCATTTCAGAAATCTCTAGAATTTGTAATATGTCAAACTGTAATGAAGCCACAATGAACTTGTAGCTAGCTAATATCCAGGCAATCTGATACAAGTATGTCTTTAAATATCAGTACTTCTAGAAATTATAAGAAGTATGTGCATCTGAGTATGATTATTTTAAATTCAATATGCTTTCTTTCTGGGAACTTGAAGCTCTCCTTTATTTATTATTTAAAAAACCACTCTGAGCTTGTAGGCATGAAAGATATAATTTCTTTCCCATTTCACAGTTGGAAAAACTGAATTAAAGAGAACAATGCTAGTAATTATCCATGATTAATAGAGGTGTGTATGTAAATCAGCCTGAATAAGTGTGTGAAATTAGATGTGCTGATGCCAGATAGCTCTGCTCATGTTTTTTAAAGATGAATGCTTTCATATAAATCTCTGTGTGAGTTGGGCATACATCTCTGTGTTGAGTATATCTGGAAATAGACTTTGTAAAAGTGTATGGATATTAAGGTAACAGTATTATGTATTATAACCATTATAATACATAAAATAAACTAGATGAGTGTTTAAAATTCATTAGACAGATACATACCTAATGAACACAAATGCATACATAATGGTTATTTATAATGTACTATAGATTTATATATGTGCCTGGATGCTGTGAGGCATAGACTGGAATTTGGGTGTACTTTGATGATTAAAAATTCCGGGAGATGGTGCATGTTAGTTTCTTAGGATTGTGGGGATTAATTGAGTTAATACATGCCACAGCCTCAGAACTCTATCGGTACATGAGAAGCCCACTTTCTATGTTAGTTGTTGTTATTATTATTATTATTACTAGAGATGAAACTGCTATTATAATGAAGAGCTAAAAAGAGACATTTCTCATTGATACCTGGGATAATATCCCACAGAAGATACATAAAGCTATCGGGATTGTCCAGTTATCTTTATAGCATGGTGTGGTTTTAGGATTTTTCTCCCAGTTTTCCTTCCATCCCAGTGGCATCTGATCTTGAGAACCCATTTCTGGGAGGGCCAGGTGAGGGCAGGTATATCGCCTCCTCCTACTGGAGATGGAATCTGGCTGTTCTGATGCCAGGCCTGCCCAGAACAACACCAGTTGCCCTTCGGGAGAAAACATGCCAGGTGGACTTCAGATTTCTGCAAGCCTGGTTTGTTTGTGGGTTGGATTTTAATTTTTTTTTAAACTTTAATTTTGGGGGGTTTTGTTTTGTTTTCTGAGAAAGCTTTAGACAGCTGTATTAATCATGCAAACCCAGCCATGTGCAATGTGTTTTATCAATGGAAAAACAGGAACTGAATGGCAAGCAGCTGTGAACAAACCCAGTGCAAAGCCTGAACCTGGAAGATAATCTTGACATTTCCCAAACCCACTAGCCACACGGGGTTAGTGAATGGAAAGGCTGTTCACTTGGGATAAATAATCAGATGGGAGGCAAGCAAGTGAGACACATTCCAGGGTTATTAATTTTTTTTTTTTAAAGTACCAGTGATGGAAGAAGGAGGGGCTGATTGAGCCCAGGGAGTCCCACACTCAAGGGGATTCCTCACTTGAGGGTGATAAAAGTAAAACAATGGTAGTTTGTCCTTGTCCTTTTTCTTCTTGTACTTCATTTTAACTTTCGGAAGCTGGTTTTGTCACTTTATTTTGAACCTGCAGTCCTTCTAAGTGTGAGGGCATCTCTAGGTGAGCTTCCATCTTGAGAGGTTATGCACCAGAAAGCTTATGGGGAGGAGACGAGCAGTATTATCATTTCCCAGTATTCAGAATCCTCAGGAAATGATCTGAGCCTAACAAAGTGAGAAAAGTTCCCTCAGACATTTAGAGCCGACTCTTCCCTCATTTTACAATTCAGTGGATTTTCTGCAGTGATATAGTCAGGGGTAGTTATGCAAATATATGCAATTCAGGACTCATTTCAGAATAAATAAACCTAAATTAAAATTAATGGGAAAAAACACCTATCAGAAACAGATCAAGGATGGAACACTTATTTATTTATATATATCTTTTAAATTAAGAAGCAGGGAAGCACACTGATTTTTTTTTGTTCTGTTTTGTTTGTGGCAGAATAGGAAAGGACATTTGAAAATTCCTGATTGGCCACAGACAATACAAATTATCCTTCGGTGTAATTCCAGTATTATTATTATCACTGCAGAAAATCAAGCAATATGATGAAGGAAACCCAAGAGAAATACATTTGATTTATTGAGCCTTGTTTTTGTTTAATCACAGCTTGAAGGGGTTTAGGACTGCATTCCTGCTGCGACTCTGATGTTTATCCCCCGTCAGCTTGATGAGCCATGTAGAGTGGGGGTGGGGGAGACCCTCCAATGAAAGACATTAACAACGAAGCAGCTAAAATTAAACATGTATTTCTGTTATCGGAAAATAGGAGAGAAAGTTCTCTTTTTTTGTGATGGGCGGACAAAAAAGGACCTTTGGAACTTTCTCATATTTTCAAAACCCCTGAAGGAAACTGATTGGTTTCATATCCTTCTGGCCATTTGTATCAACCAACTGCTAATAGATACATTAACACTTTAGGGCTGAAATGTAGGATTGTACCTAAATGATGACAATATACAGTATTTAATTAAACAAAGGTATTTTGTGTTATAGATATGACCAACCTGAGGTAGGCAGGCTTTTCATAGATATTTTGGTACTTAAGTGGCACTATAAAAAAGAGTTAAGGATCCTACACATTAATATTTTTTCCCATGGGATACTGCATTTCACATGAGTAGCCATCTTGCCTGGGCAGAAGAGGAGAAAAGGGGCTGATTTCTACAAGTTAAAGCCCTAAGAGACAGGGAACTTAAAGGGCATTATCTTTCCATACCCACCTCACACATCAGCTATCCCAAGTCTCGATGAACAGCTTTTCAATTTCTACCAGCAGAAGCCCAAAGTATTAGTAGTAAAATAAACTATATTCTCTAGAACTATTGGATCTAAAGAAGCTATCTATTGTCTATCTACAACGTAAAATCAAACTAGGGTCATTCTCCAATCAACAATTCAGTTTGTGGGAAAATATCAAGTTCAACTTGCTTCATTCCTGGCCCCAACTGTTTTTCAATATCCAACAGCTGTCTTTTGTGAATCGTGTCTGACTTTCATTTTGTTCCATGTTATATACATCATAAAGCATGATCAGATAAAATATTTGAGTCTGTGGCTGCAGAACCGCTCCTAGAGAGGATACCTAGAGGCTTAGTGACAGTTTACAAAGCTCGTCTTGGATGTAGCATGACCTCTTTGAAGATATCATCCATTGGGACAAATGTGTATGTATGTGTTTGTCACATCAAGATATTTGCAAGATGTCAACATGATAAAATGGCGTCAATCTCTGCAGCAACACTCGAAGATAAATGTCTTAAAATAATTGTGTCATGTCAGGAATTCAAAATGGGATATTTTCCATGAACACTAAGTTTCATGTCAAGTCTAAAAAACAGGCACATTTTAAGTCTTATTTTTAGTAGTTGGGATAAGAAACAGATTTCATTAATGTTTTAAGGAAGGATTTTATTCAACAGAGTTCTTCTATAAATAGTTTGGACCCTTCTTAAAATTTAAGAGCAACTTTTTTATTAAGCTGTCTAGTTGATCCTTGAAACCCTGCAATTCTCATTGCAAATATAATTAAAATAAGTTTGCATATATGTGAATACATACATATGCAAAACATAACATTATTGACACTCTGAATATCCTCACCCAATTTTGGCCTAATTTTTAGTTTGGATGAGTGTTAATGAAACATGATCTGTCTTCAAACTTATAAAACAGCAGCTTTCTACCTTTAATTCTGAGCACATTTCTTTTATAGTGTATACAATAATCTTGTTTAATTGGATTTATTTTTTCCACACGAGGCCCCGCATGCCCTACTTTCCATTTTTTCTCAGGTCTTTGAGTGTTATTTGCAAATCACTTTTCTGGAATTTAATTTCAATGGTAGGTTGGTTTCATTTCAGATTTTTTTGTATTGTTTTAATTTTATTTGCCAATTTGCCTTTAAATAGCCTTAAGCTAGAAGGCTGGGGCTGCAACTTGCATCTAAATGTGATGTAGGAGGCAAAATTTAATTTGGGTGTGGAGAAAGTTTTATGAAAAGGAATACAGAATGACTACCTTATTTTTTCATTTGTGCTTTCTAAAATAGTTATGTTTAAAAGGAAAAGCCCCCGCACTGGCCACAATTTTAAGAAAAGTTAATGTCCTTGTAATCTGGTTGAGTTCAAACTTTGGCAGTAGTAGATAAATTCATTTTTTAAGTAATACCAATGACTTGAGATTCGGATTGTATAAGCCTCCAAATGTGTGGGTGGTCAGTTAGAGGATTCATATTTTTATGAGCTACAGAACTGAACTGGCTGTGTTCCAAATATGTGAGTTCATAGTTACCTGTGACACATATTAATTGAAGAGAGAATTGCTTTCTGAGCTTAGCATCTCCCCAGCTACTCACTTACTTAAGTCAGATAAAGAATCTGTTACATGTCTATCAACTGGTGTGGGGACAATTGATCAACTTTCTTTTGAAGGTTTAAAGAAAAAAAAAAAAGGTTTCTATTGTATGTGAATGTTGTGAATATGTATCCCCCTTTGTGTGTTTTGCACATTATGGATGATGGAGAATGACCCAGCAACAGAACTACAGTCATAAAAATCATACTGACCTTGAATGGGATGGGGGATTGTGGGTGAAACACGCTCTAAAGGGGAAAAAATAGTAAGCATCATGGAGAGTTTATATAGATCTATCTGTATATTTATATCTTACTCATGCTTAGCTACTCAGATAATTATAGAGCAGATAAATTTCCATGCCTATAGGATAGTATCTCCTATAAAGCATTTGTCTGTTCTTCCTGCCAACACTAAATTATCAGAAAGTTATTGGTAAAATTTTAAATCCAAAGCTTTAAAAAAATTAGAGTAGGAAACGACATCTTATTGTGGTAACCCTACAAACAGGATCCTACCCTACACTGAAAAAAACCTCACTACCAAAATTACAATTTTTCTGGAGGGCTGGGTTGAAGGTATTTAAATTAGCAGTGATCACAGTCAGTCATGCATCTTCGCGTCCTGGTTCTGGTCTCTTTAACTCAGGACAGATGGACCCATGATAGCTAAGGACTCCTTTCCTCTCCCTAAGCCCTACAGCTCATATCAGCTTTAGCCAAGTATGTGGAAAATTTATTTGGGAAATACTAATTCAACTTTTCCCTCAGGTTTTTATTTCCACACTTCTAATACCAGTGCGAGAGTAATGCCAAGGAAATAAGTAAATTGGCATGGTATTATTTCATTCTGTCTTTTCTTTAATACCACTCTCTTGTAATAATACAATCTCACCTGAAATTTGATCAACCAATCAAATTTACTTGATGATACATCCCGTGGAGTAAGAAAGTGTTCTTTTGGACACATAGGTTTGAGCTTATGTGTCCCTCACAGTCCCATCCCCAAGCTGCTGATCATAAGTTGAATGTGCTGACAGAGCTCAGGCTTTAGGCATCCTGTATTTATCTTATCAAAACCCCAGGTTTAACTCTAAATCCTCCTCTGAGGCTCTTTCAGAAAGGTAGAATGGTGTATTAGGACTAGGATGCATTACTACTGCCCCTAAACCCAATAATGCAACATAATTAGCACACACTTTACATTCCTCCTAGCCATTTGGTTAAATAAAGACTAACTGATAAATTGAAGTAAACAAAAACCAAAACCATAAAGAGAAAAGCATATGTGCATATTCAAATTTGACCTGCCTGCCATCTTGTACCATATCTCTAGAAAGAGTGGATTTTGCCTGGAATTTGGACACTCAATACATCTGGATGCCAAGGAAACCCTGACTCCTTGTAGAGTGAGCCTTTCTCTAGCTTGCCTGAAAGTTGTAACTTAAATGCTAAAGTTTGCTAAGTGCATTAAGATAGAACAGGTCAATAGTAGCGCGGCAAACAACTGTGTCTTAGTTACACAAGTGTCAAGTAGAAAAATGGTTTAAACCTCCACTGGTTATTTGGTATTAAGTTTTCAGCTTTGAAATTAAATAGCTAAACTGCTTTCAACATTTATGTAGCAGTTGGAGACTACTGTCCCATACTATACTCTATCCACTGTACTTTATTTTTTATTATCACTATTATTATTCAGACTGTTTAAATGACTCAGCTTAATATTTTCTCATCACACTGTTCACAGCTGGGTAAATGCACTCTGCCCTCCTTTCCACAAGACCATTTGTATTGCTAAAATCATCTCACCCACCCTCCTTGGTTCCCAGCTTGTTATTATCATCTTAGCTCCACCCTGTTATCATCATCTTATCCCTATCACGCCCCATTAGTTACTCTCATTCTTGAATTCCACCCTACTGACTTATTCTTTAGACGCTTCCCAGTCCCAGCTTTTTATCCTTATTCCTCCCCCATCACTCTGCTGCATTTTATAATTTTGCCATGGTTTGTAGGCTCTTGTTCGAGTGTAAAGTGAAGCGACATCACTTAAAATGAAGAAGAAATTCTTTGACTTTTGATAATCAAAAGTAGGGGAGGACAGAAACTTTGGTGCAATGTGCTTTGTCTTTTGGTTGCTAATATTTGGGGGAGGTCAGCATCGCTAAGCAGCTATTTTGGAAGGTTTGAGGAACAGAGCCCTAAGGCTGACCCCAGAACTAGAGGCTGTGGCTCTTAGTAAGTCCCTTGACTCTGATCTTTGGTTTCTTATCTGCCAAATGTACGTGTGTGTGCATATGTGTGTGTATGTACGTGTGTGTTATTGGTTGATTCTGTTGGGACAACAATGAGAAACTGTTAAGTGGGGGCATTACACTTCACAAGGAAAACCTCTGATATAAAAGCACTTAAATGGCAAAGGCTAGAGCTGATTGTAAGGTGTATATAGAGAGGTAATTTGTTAACCCAGATATGATTTTGTTTTCTTTTCCAATGGGTATTGCAGATGTTCGGTAAACTTTCTGGAAGTCAGCATATTCCATGCCTATTCTTGAAACTAAATCTAGTCCCAGTGCCCATCTATTTCCTATAGTAGCCACAGAGAGCCCTTTTAAAGTTTGCAGCCGGTGTTTCAAACTACATGAGGGTAGTGCTCAAATGGCTGCTCACACTGTTTTATTATGTGGCATCTAGAAGTAGCTGGTTAAGAGGCTTTGCCAAGTCTTAACTAACTTCATCAAGTGGTATATATTTAAACTCCAGGCCCCCAAGATAACAACTTAAAATGGTTTCTAAACAAGCGGGGGAGGCGCTCATTTTAAGGGCTCTCTCTAGTGCTGGGTTGCTTAGGTAATACTTGAGATTTAATCAAGTATAGGTTTACAAGTTAATTATCTTTTAAAATAAAAAGAGAACAGGGGCGCCTGGGTGGCGCAGTCGGTTAAGCGTCCGACTTCAGCCAGGTCACGATCTCGCGGTCCCTGAGTTCGAGCCCCGCGTCGGGCTCTGGGCTGATGGCTCAGAGCCTGGAGCCTGTTTCCGATTCTGTGTCTCCCTCTCTCTGACCCTCCCCTGTTCATGCTCTGTCTCTCTCTGTCCCAAAAATAAATAAACATTGGAAAAAAAAATTAAAAAAAAAAATAAATAAAATAAAATAAAAAGAGAATTTGAAAACCTCCTACACACTGATGTGGTATGGCTCAATGTAGATTTCTTTGCATTTTTAATTTTTTTTTTGTACTTAATAGCTTCAATACTTTACCAATCGATACATTTCTCTAAAATAGAAGGTAATTGATCAGTAGGAGTATTCTTTAACATGTGGGAATATTCCTAGGGTCAAAAGCTGACCACGAGGCTGGAATATGAGTTAGGAATCTCACTGTGCCAAAGATTAACCAATGATCTAACTACTCCAGTGGACCCATTCCATGGGGGTCAATGGAAATGGAAATGAGAGGTGGCAGAAACAGTGAGGTGGGGAGGGATATGACAATATCTAGTCATGGAGAGACCTCATTAAGTGAAAAAAGGAGAAAGAAATTAGATGTCTCCTCACTTCCAGACTACAAAAGATACATCTCCTAACACTTTCTCCACATACACCAATCTAGGTAACACATTGATCTAGAGCCTGGATTTGAGAGTTAAATGAGATCATGTATGTTAAGGGTTTAGCACATGTTCAGAGTACCTTGTAAGCATTCACTTCATCAGAAGTGATTACATTAAAATCACCACCCCATCCTCCCTCCCCATCCATTGCTTTAAAAGTAACTCAACGTAAACACGGAAACAAGATAGGTTTCCCTTGTGGGTGCATTGTAGTCATCGGTGTGGAAACGCAGAATCTGCTATGTTACATATGCTGACAATGCACCTTCTCTTGGCATCAATAGAAGCCAAAGTCTTCCTCTAGGCGCTGCATGTCCCCATAGATGACAAGGACTAAGGGGCTGAATCTTTGCCTGTACACACTGTCCCATGGGATGAATGTGTTCAGAAAAAAATACACAATGTAACGCTTTGCCCAGGATGAAGAAAAACATCTAAGCTTGGATATAATATAGACTGAGGTGGTACAGATCCTTGACAAACAATGCTAGAATGTGTGGATGACAGAACAAATGAGAAAAGAATGCTTCCACTAGCTTAGGAAAAAATTACTAGGAATACAATGTATTCTTGCACTTTCCTTCAATTATTTTGACCCCCTTGGAGATCAATATCTGAATAGAGTGGAGAAGTATATGTACGCATGTGGTGGAGGACAAGATGGATCAGTGACCGCAAACTGACACTGCGCAAAGAGTCAGCACGTGTCACTGTGGTGGACACTGAAAATGTGCTGACGCACCAATGAAGACAGATCATCGCGAACTCTTCAGGGGCTCCGGCTCTACGTGCTGCCTCTTTCTGGCGGGCAGTAGCTCACCACCTGCCTGGTCTGCTCTGGACTGGCTGGTGAGCACAGCACCCCGCTGCCCACACAGTGCTCTCTGTCAGGGTTGCGGCAGCCGCCCCCCCCTCCCCTCCCAAGCCTTGCTCCCTTCCTCCCCTCCCAGGCCTCGCTCCCCTCCTGACCCCGTTCTGTGCAAAAGTGCCGCTGCCAGTGGCGTCTTCTTTCTACCCATTAAACCCATCTACTTTGAGTCTAAGTAATGAGCAATCTGTTCACATAGGTACTTTCTTTTTTTTCCCCTTTCCCCACCTCCTCCCTCTCTCTTGCCTGTGTGAAATAGGCTGCGGTACAGCTGTATTCCCAAGGAATGAAGGATGTAGCAATGCGCCTCCCAAAGCTAAATGGTCATGGAGGGGTGGCCGAGGCAGAAGTGCCCTTCCCGTATGTAAGAAGCACAGCTTCCCCTTTAGGGGCGCCTGGGTGGCTCAGCCGGTTAAGCATTCGACTTCCGCTCAGATCATGATCTCCTGGCTCATGGCTCCTGAGTTCGAGCCCCCCACGGGGCTCTGTGTCTGTGCTGACAGCGCTGAGCCTGGAGCCTGCTTCGAATTCCGTGTCTCCCTCTCTCTCTTCCTCTCCCCTGCTTGAGCTCTCTCTCTCTCTCTCTCTCTCTCCCCCAAAATAAAATGAACATTAAAACAAACCCCAAATGTCCATCCACATTTAGGCCTTGGGTCTAAGAAAGCAGGCAGTAGGTTCACTAATTTTTAGCGTTATGCCTCCTAACTTCCCCATTAGGTGGGAGATCAGCTCTGAACTCCACGCTGATGCACATGCTGCTAAACGCAGAGCTAGTGCCTGGGGTGGGGGTGGGGGGGGAGGGTGTTCTGTGGAGGGCAGTGTGGGCCCGCGGGGAAGTAGAGCCCCGTTAATCACTGTGCTGTGCACTTCTCAAACGTGTAATTGAAAGTGGCTTCTGTGAAGTCATCGGGACAATATGATTACGATACACATGCATAATTAGGCGATTCCAGCTTACAAACAGAAATTCTCTAAGATTCTTGTTTTGGCATTTCTTAATTTTACTGGGTTGAGTCCTTTAAATGGACTTTGATGCATAGGGCAAGGGTATGAAAGGCCTTGAGGTTACCATGGGCACCAGCAGACAAGCAGTATCTCCATTATCTCTGACCTAGTCCATGCCTCCTGGAGTATTCCACCCTTCCATCCTCTTTACCCTCCTCTCTCTCAGTCAGTAGGTGTCATTTTATTTATCATTTGAAATATATCATTAGCACATTTCTTCCTCTGGATGGGATACAACGAGAAGATGCTTTAATGCAAATTATAGTTGCTTACTTTCTCTAACTAATCCAGTTGTCCCACTTTCTCTTTTCGAACCCCTATAAAACTTATTAAGTGTATGTTGTTCTACTTAACCAGGTTACCTTAGATATGTCAGAATCCCAAATTCAGGGTTGAGGCTGTTTGCACCACCACCCCCACTTACGGAATCCCTGATGTCAAGAGTGAAACAGGTAACTACATTTCTTAATAATTATCTTCTCAAGTGTTTTGAGATATTGGTGCCTCTAGCTGAAGTAAAGAACACTGATGTTTGGTCCTTGGAGACAAGTAAACAGCAATATGAATTTTAAACTTCATATTAAAATTCATATGAATTTTAAACTTAAGCACTTGTATAGCTGTATCCCATCAAACTGTTATAGACTGAAGTCAATGGCAGTTATGGGTGAGAAATTGAAGGCCAAATTTAGCATAGTTTGTGGTGTGTGTTTTTTTTTTTAAAGAGTTGGGTCTTGAGCAGTTAGAAAATGGCTTTAATACTGCATCTTAAGAGAACTCTCACTTAAATTGATTTTTCTCATATATATATTATGTATATATTATACATATAATATATATATATTTTTTTTTCCTTGAAGGCTCATGTAAGATAAAGAAAGATAGAGATATCTCTCTTAGTCATAATATTTCTAGATTTTCCAACTGAATCTGTGCAGAAGAAAAATTCCTAGTGGATTGTTATTCCAAAATCATACTAGTAAAGTTTTTGGACTTTGTCTTTTAGTCCAAATAAACTTTCTGGTCCAGCATGTGCTAACTAACTCTTGTGTTTGTTTTACTTATCCTTATAAACATTTCTCTAATCCAAATGTATCGTCTTCTCCTAATTTCACCCATCTGTTTCTCAGGGGCATTTGTGTCTATGCTTGTAGCCATCAGGCAGGGGGTCAGATACCTGAAGGTTAACAGCTGCTAAAGGGCAAGGGTCCAAGGTGCGCTCTCCTAGTAACACCAGTAAACTAAAACAACTGAGTCCTCCTCAGTCGGCCTGAGGATCTTCTCTGCTCTGTGGATGCTCCTCTCTCCCACCATTTTATCTCTTCCAAAAATATGTGAGACAAGTAATGTTCCCTGCTGTCATATGGAAACATTTCTGCAACCATTTTTCCTCTTTTAGATTTTATATGATGTTTTAATCATTCATTCCACCTTTCTCTTGTGTTGTTAAAAATACGCTTCCTTTTCCCAGCCTCTCCCTTCCCCCAGCACCTTATCCATCCTCACTGACTATATCTTCTTCAATCACTCTCACCAGTGCCATTTTTTAACTGTCATCTATTTTCCAGGATCTTACATCACCTCTGTTCCTTAAAAGATCATCACCAAAGAGATTTCTGTTCTCTGAGTATTCTTACAGTTAAATCAACCAGGCAAAAACAAAACTAAAAAACAAACAAAAAACAAAATAAACAAAAAACCCCAAAAACCAGCAACAACAACAAAAAAAACCACAAGGCAGTTATCAAAAGGAAGCCAGGAAATAGAAACATTATTTGATTTGTAAATCTTGCCCTATGCATAGGGATTGAAGTCCTGTGTTTTTGTTTCAGTGACTGGATTCTGATTTTTGTGTATGTTTACCTTTAATAGGTAAGGTTGAAGGTGAGGTAAAGGAATGCTTTTCAAGCTTTCCACGGGAGCACTCACTTGACTGAATTCTCCCGAGTCAGGCCCTACTTTGGCATACTTACTGAAAAGGACTAGGCTGGCATTGGTGACCCCCAGATTGTTGGCAGCCACGCAGGTATAGTTGCCATAATGCTCCTCAGTGACGTTGGTCACCGTCAGGGAGGACTGGCCCTCCGTGCTCTTAATCTCAAGGCCATTAGCACTGTTTATCCTAAGAGTTCAAAAACAGAAGAGTAAAAAGAAACACTGATGAAGACTTGGTGTAGCAATCCCTTTTTCATCATGATATTGGAGGACATGGAGAGAAATGTAATAACAGCTTGTTCCCTGCTCAATTTCTCATTTTAATCGTGCAACTCCGTATTATCAGAACCGATGTCTATCGACAGAGAAGACTTAAGAATGGATGAGTTTCATTGAGCTTTGGCTTCTGCTCCAGGCAAGAAAGACATACAGGTGGAGACATACAGAAAGACATACAGGTGGCTTAATACCCATTAAGCCAGCTACTTCACTCTTTGCATGTAACTTGAATGCTCTGGGGCTTCAGGTTAAGAACTACAGGCCTCTAAGCACTTGATAAAGAGATTTAGAAAATGAAGAGTCTAATAGTATAGACTCACATAATTACAGCAGGGCTAGGTTCTGTCCCTAGGACCACCTAGTGGAACAACGGGGGCATGGCACGTTTGGCACATACCTGGTGTCATCCCGGTACCACTCAAAGTCAGGCGCAGGCACTGCTGAGGCCTCGCATTTGAGTGAAGCTTTCCGTCCTGTGGTGGCTTCATTGCTCTTGGATTCTGTGATAGTGGGAGGATCTGGAGAAAAGACGGGGGCACAGTTTACATGAAAGTCAGAGGGTGCTGTGGAATTTCCATGCAAGAAGGAATCAGAAAGGACAATCTGATTGGAGAGCTGCACGAAAGGAAGTCTTAAAATCCTCATTTACAAGAATTTTGTGATCACCTGAATGAATGGGACTGATCACTAGAAAACTAAATAAAATGAGAGATGATTAATGAAACTGTGGACTTGCTTTTCCTAAATGGGACGCTTAACAGGGTTTTATGGCAATGGAATAGGATTTCTGTCTCCCTCCTTCAATAGACCAACAATTATTTCAACCATGGATTATAATACTTACATCATTTTTTTCTTTTCATAAGTTAAGTGGTGATACTAAAGGTCTTGGGATTTCAAACATATAACCTGAGCGTTTTTCTTGTTCATCATCATTATTATTGTCATTATTGTCACAGTTTGAGATGGTGGTAAGAAGTTTGATGAAAGTAATAGGGGGCTAAAATTCTCCCAACCCAAGCTTAGCCTGATAATCGTTGCAGGAATTCAGAAAAACAAACACACGAATGAACAAAATTGTGTTAGAAGATTACCTTTTTTTCTCCTAAGAGTTCCCTTATCGCCATGACCCAAGTAAATTGTGCTTTTGTGTGTGAGTGTGCAGTTTGAGGTCTACCCTGCCACGTGTCCGTTTTCTGTGCTCTCTGGCAGTTGTACACTTGATATGTGCTGCTTCGAACTGGGTCTGCAAAACGTGTAGCAGGCTTGAAATAAACTCAGAAGCACATCTGATATCCTAATTTGCCACGATTCTTTCAAACAGTCCTTCAGAGGGCGGAATGAGTGTTTACAGGGATGTGTGACCGAGCTGGGATGGTAGGCTCAAGCTCCGGGCTTGATGATGTTGTATTTGTGCGGGTTATGGACCTTCAAGGAGAAAAGTGGTTTTCGGTCCAAAGGTCATCTGCCAGAAAATGGTAGGCTGGCTGTGCACACAAGTCAAAAATAGAGCCGAACAATCTGTTTAGACTTTGTAGAGGAAAAAGCTTACTTAGGGAAATTAGCAAAGAAAACTCTAGTAACACAAAATTCATTTAAATTTCTGCTCTTTAGCACTTGGTTCAGCTCACTCATTTCTGAATTTTGTCTTCATATTCAAAATTATTTTCCAAGTTTCCCGTCTATGGAAGACTCTGCTCTTCTTAGTTAAAAAGGATGCACAAAAGCATCAGGTTAGTGTGCAGTTTTCTCTCCCAGTTCATTTTTACATCAGCTTGGACATCTTTAAACCAGTTAAAGCATGGTTAGACAAGCACTTCCAGCCCATGTGCAGACAGGTGTGCCAGAGTGGGTGGTAGTGGCTGTTCTGTTTTAGACTTACCTGCTCAACTTTGTTTGGCACAAAAAAGCAGTCTGATGAGCAGAAAAGAACCTTGGATTGGAAACTAGGGGTCCTGGAATTTAATTTCAGTTTGGTTGTGTGGCCCTCCCATCACACAATTTATCTTACTGAGCCTTGGTTTTATTACCTATAAAATGAGGGAACCACACTTTAATGACCTATAGTATCCCTTCCAGCTTAAAAACAAAAACAAAACAAAACAAAAACCCAATTCTAGTGAAAACTGCCTATCCTTTACAAATGGGCAGTTGGTATCATTACAACCTAAGTCTATTTTCCTACCCATAACTCATTTAGCCCTTAAATTACTAACTTTCAAAATTGTAACTCATTTATCTGTTCCATGGGTTAGGAGTCAGGACAAACAGTCAGAAACAGGAAACCTGAGGTCTGATTTTGACTCTTCTCTTACATAGAACTGTGGCCGGGACAAGTGTCTGCACCAGTTTGAGCTTTTTCTTTCTCATCTTTTAAAAGAAGGAGTTAGCTTAAAAGGATCCCCAAGATTCCACTTACAATTCTTTCATTCTATGTTTGGTTATATAGATCATTAGAGTCCATTAGTTCAAAAGAAAATGGAGGGGCGCCTGGGTGGCTCAGTGGGTTAAGCATCTGACTTTAGCTCAGGTCATGATCTCGTGGTCTGTGGGTTTGAACCCCACGTTGGGCTCTGTGCTGACAGCTTGCAGCCTGCTTTGGATTCTGTGTCTCCCTCTCTCTCTGTCCCTCCCCCACTGGGTCTCTCTCTCTCTCTCTCTCTCAAAAATAAATAAATAAACATTTAAAAAAGACAATGGAATAATTGGTGGTAGTTGTATTGGTGGGGGAGGTATTTGTATAGAGATAGGGCATAGAATAGAGGTTAAGAGTTTAGATTTAGAGTTTGATAGATGTGAGCCCAAATCCAGGTTCTATCCCTCACTGTCCTCCCTCCTTATAGAAGATAGTACTTTATCTAGAGTTACATTTCTTCAATTTCCTCATCTATATAATGCTGGAACCAGAGGCAGGGAGGTCCACTTCGAGATTACTGAAGGAAGCCAAGATAGCCTGCGCTAGGTTTGTGATAAAGGGGCTGGACGAGAATGGGCAGATTTGCAATGGAAAGGTATGGAGCCTCAGAACTGACAAGAATAGGGGTGCCTGGGTGGCTCAGTCAGTTAAGTGTCTGACTCTTGATTTCGGCTCAGGTCATGATCTCATGGTTGTGAGATCACGCCCTACGTCAGGCTCTGTGCTGAACGTACAACCTGTTTAAAAATTTTTTTTTTTTTACATTTATTTATTTTTGAGAGACAGAGAGAGACACAGCACAAGTTGGCGGAGGCGCAGAGAGAGAAGGAGACACAGAAGCCAAAGCAGGCTTCAGGCTCTGAGCCATCAGCACAGAGCCCGATGGCATGGCTCGAACCCACAAACTGTGAGATCAGGACCTGAGCAGAAGTCGGACGCTTATCCGACTGAGCCACCCAGGCACCCCATGTACAGCCTGTTTAAAATTCTCTTCCTCTGGCCCTCCTTCCCCTCTCAAAAAAAAAAAATGACAAGAACCTATGTAAAGGAGGAGTGTCAAAGGTAACACCCAAGTTTCTGGCTTGGGCATCTAAGTGATGCCATCTTCTGAGAAAGGATATGTCAGAAGAGACATAGATGGCCACGAATGAATGCTAGTTTCCCATCCTCACCTCTTCGCAGAATCAGGTTGTTAAGCTGCCAGTGACTCCCTCCACAGTTTGCAGCATGCTGGCCAGAGAGATAATCTTGCTTGTGATTCTACTGCTTTAATTTCTCAGTTTGTAAAATGAGTTTGAACCAGTGTTTGTGAGTTTCTGGAGCCACATTGCTATGAGTGACAAACCCTTGATGATGTCTACCTTTTTGCTAAACCAGCATAATCTGGGCCCAATTACACGCTGTCCATTTCCTCCACCTCTGGCACTCATAGCTGTGGCACCTCAATGTAATAATGCCATGATAAATGGCTTCCAGACCTTCCACCATGGGACCAGGGATGCAGGTCCCAGCTGTACAGTTTTGTGGGAGAGTTCTTCCTTGCCCTGGATGTTTCCTTCTGTGTGGTGGGAGCTTATTTCACTTCTTGCTCAGGGACCCAGAAGGAAGAAATGATTTTGAGTGAAAAATTTGGGAAGAATAAATGAGGTTTCTTCAGCTCCTCTCTTTCCTTGCTTCCTTTGCAACCAAGCTTCTGGCAGGGAACAGGGCTTCCCCTCTGCTTCTCCACAAGAAAGTCTTACCAGGACTGTATCCTTCCTACTCTCAGGTGAGTAGGCCTGCACCATTCCAGGGCTGCTGCCATGACTGGGGAAATAAGTTGTCCACACTAAGTACTACATCTTCCCATCTTGATCTCTAACAATGGGGGCCATTGAGTCTTCCATACATCTTTACTTATTTCTCAATTTGTTCAGAACCTGAATAACTAAGTAGTAAGTTATTTATTAGCCCCTCAGAGATGCCAGCATGGGAAAAGTGGCAGCAAATTAGGGTTGAACACTTTTAAGTGCACTAATTTTGGGATAGGATGACATTGGTCAATTACAAAGGCCAAACACCCGCTTCTCTCCTTGAAAATCTAGGAAATTTCTCCTACCAAGAAAACTTCACAGATAATGATAAATGTATGAAGAACTCATTGTTCCTAATATTTCTCAGATGACACAATGGTACAGGTCTGTTCACTCATGGCTTATTGGAATGAACATTTCAAATTCATTTGTAATGAATCCTGTATAGGTGAGACTAAGAAAAATTGTTATAAATCACATTGCAGCATGCCTGGTGTAGTTAAAATAATAGATGTCCATGCTCAAAATATCATTATAATAAAAATTAAATGTGGCTTAATAAAAATGCTGCACAGAGGTCCATTGTAATCCTTTATGTGATTTTAGAGTAGCCTACAATTTTCAAAGGACTCTTCCAGTTTTCATTACTTAAAAATTCTGTTAATAAGGACTTTCTTTTTCTTTTTTTTTTTTTTTTTTTTT